ATCTTAGTTCCTTCTATGATATTCAAAGTATGTTTAGTGTCTCTCAGGTATGAGGGGAGTTCTACTACCAGTTTCCTCAATATCTGATCTACATACAAACTGGCATTCTGGGTCAGGTTACCCCTACCCGACACAATTGGTCTTCCATTCAGTATTGGTTGTTGTTTGTGTATTTTTGGGAGGGCATAAAATGTAGCAGTAACAGGGTTTTTGACAAAAATAAAGTTATATTCCTCCTTTGAAATCAAGGATAAAGAGAGCGCTGTATCCAGAATACTCTTTAATTCTTCTAGGTATTTCTTAGTCGGGTCACCCCTAAGTATTTCATATGTATCGCTGTCTTCGATTAGTCTATACACCATCGAGACATAATCAGACTTGTTTAAAATAACCGTATTGCCCCCTTTATCAGATGGTTTAAATATCACCTCATCAAGTTCTTTAAGATGTTTCAAGGAGGTGTTTTCTTGTGGGGAGATGTTACTGTTGGGTTGAACCAGAAGGTTCTTGTAGTTGATTTTATCGATTTCGTTGCATGTCAACTCCACAAATAGATCAATATATTTGAAATCTACCAAGTGTGGAGTGAACATACTCTTTTTTTTCAACTGTGTAAATGGTGGTTGTGGTTTCGTGGAAATGTCATTACTAACCAGTAAGTCCACTAAAGTATCTAGTGCAACCATATCGGATACTTGGAGACCTAGGTTCTTAGCTCTTTTTTCCTCGCGAATGCGATGGAATTTATGCAAAGCTAGTTTTCTTGCAAACAGGTGTATGTCCTTTGTCCAGTTAAACTTATCAAAGTTAGAAACTGGAACAAAGGACAGACCACGTTGTAGAAGTTGCAGTTCAGACTTGGTGGGAACATATGTGGAAAGATTGATGATTTGATTGGAGTCGGGGGCCCTAACTAGTATCTTCTCCTTCTGAACTGTTGGGGGGGTCTGCCTCTGTTCCGTGTCCGTGGAGCTAGATTTTCTTCCATGGTCGGTTGTCCTAAAAAAAGAGACCCCTCTTTTAAGTATACTTCTATTATTGTGTTCAAATGGTATTGTGGTGCCCCCTTTAGATGAATCGGACTCTGAACCACTGGTCTCATATTCGGATGTTGAAATTGGTTCGGAGAAACTCTTCCTAGATCTTCTATTTTTCTTGTATACATTACCACTCTTAAAGTCATTATTATCCCTAATGAACTTAGAGTGTTTGCGAATCTTAATATTCTGTTGAAATTTATCTAGGTTATTCTTAAGTTTAATCTCCAATGACTCAAAGTTAGGTTCATCATTAAACGCTTCAATCTTATTAATTTGTTCATCAACTTCCCTGTTCACCTTTTCTAGTCTTTTTGTTTCAAACTTGCATAGAATTTCCATGAATCTCTTTGAGCAGATACCTGCAGCCTCCTCCCACTCTTTTGTAAACTCCTCCTCTTCTATATGTGACGCTGGGATATTTTGTACTCTCAAACCCCTTGGTATCAACTGTTTCTTTAGATAGTTCTCCAGTGATGCAATTTCCCATCCTGTTTTAATTTGTTGTTGAAACAAATTAGTCAGGCGATTAAATGAGGAGATAATGTCATCACTGGTAGAGGTATTAGTTAGTTCCTGTTCCGAGAAAACTTGATCCGTATCTCTACACCATGCATCCCTTTTCGATTTATCGAATAGAAAACTTGCCATGATTCTCAAAAGCGGTACAGTGGTATTAAAACCTTACTTATATCAAAAACAAACGGAAAAGAAACAGAAATCTGGGTGTATACCCCTGCACTCTCCCCTACAGACAAGAGGGGAACAGTGTCAGAGTTCTACCCAGAAAGCTGTGTACCGCACCGGGACTCCAGGGATCCCAAAAGGGGCTTAACCCCTAGCAAACAAAACTAGAAATGAAGAGAAAAGATACTGCAAGTACTCAGTGCATAAACACCCCTGAGACCTGCCGCATCGCCTGGAAATCAAAATATAGCTATGTAGTCCTCTATATAAACTGGCTAATGATATAGGGACTACTCTTTTATTTCATTTGTACATTGGTTTTTTTATGATTTATAATAAGATTCTGGACATGAATGCCTTTTGGGGAGATATCTTGATTTAGTTGGATATATTACCCCCCTGTGGGTATTACTATTTTGTATTTACTATTATGATCAGTATTATTATTATTATTATTATTTGTCTATATATTGCTATCTCCTTAATTGGGATTTAAATCTCGGTACTTTGATCTATTGATGGCTTTATAGACTCCATGTGTAGGTACAATAGAGGTATTGAGAACAAGATTTGAACGGTATCAAAGTGGATGGGTGGTCTCCTTTAAGCATAACATATTATGTGCACCGATACTGTTTTTCTCTGTGGGAACAGATATTATACTTTATCTGTCTCATACGTGGTAAGACACCTGTTGGACACCAGCCTATTTAGTTATATTATTTTTAGGGACTATGTATCCCATTCTACATATATTTACTTGTACCGTTCTCTATGTGATGGCTATTTTAGCCAGTCCATCGGACCCACATACTATCTACCTATTGGATGGGTGTTTAGCTTCGGCATATAAGCCGACACCCCTTTTACTCCGCCCACTTGTCAATATGTGGATACGGAGTGAACTCTAAGCTAGACGGCAACATAGTATACACGTCAGTCTTGCCCGTACGTCACTTGGCCCCTCCCCATCTGGACCACGTGACTGTGATGTGGACGTCATCTTCATTACACTATTGGATACACGTGCGAGTCATCTCCCAATTGGACACAGGTATTCATGCCCTTCTGGCATTTCTGTACTTAAGGGAAATCAGACTAGTCTCCTGTTGGCCCCTGACGAAGGTGCATCTCCTAAGGCACCGAAACGCGCGTCGGGCGTTTATCCCACCCTTTATGAGCACTGGGCACTGGTGTTTATAGCACCATGTTTAGCACGATTTTTATGGGATTTTTTTTGGTTTAATATATTTTTCACCATATTTTCTTCTGCTCCTATGTCTATCTAGTTAGCTTACCAGGGAGAGAGGCTTTTCTAATTATAAATTGTCAGTTTTTTAGAAACTGTACATTTGCATTACTACTTTCCCTCTCTCTCTGTGCTCTACACCTAATCCTGTCCTGTATGTAATTGGAGGTGTTTTGTATCCTTGTTATTTACTGTCTCTGCCCTAGATAGGGGTTTCCTGTGGCACCTATACAATTCTATTACCATACTCAGCCTACTAATGGTAGTCAGGTATTAGGTATGCATACCTAGAGACAGTCCTGTTATAGATATCCTCTATATTTATTTTTACTTTAATTCTTTTTACTGGACTCATCCCAACTCAATATATTTTTTCTAATAAAGTCTTTATAGAGATAGGGCTGTTTGTCCAGTATTTATGTACTTCAGGTATCTATTCATGGGGTTCTGTACTTTGGGTGACATGGGAGTATTAGTTTCACTGTTATAGGATTATCAAATATGTATGTATGTTATACTAGCGATACCTGATTTCTAGTAGTCCCTATATCATTAGCCAGTTTATATAGAGGACTACATAGCTATATTTTGATTTCCAGGCGATGCGGCAGGTCTCAGGGGTGTTTATGCACTGAGTACTTGCAGTATCTTTTCTCTTCATTTCTAGTTTTGTTTGCTAGGGGTTAAGCCCCTTTTGGGATCCCTGGAGTCCCGGTGCGGTACACAGCTTTCTGGGTAGAACTCTGACACTGTTCCCCTCTTGTCTGTAGGGGAGAGTGCAGGGGTATACACCCAGATTTCTGTTTCTTTTCCGTTTGACAATGTAAACTAACCAGACTCTGCAGGATTACATAGTATCACAGTAAATGAGTCGGGGCAGTGGTTGATAGCGTACCCTTATACTGTGCAGGCACATCGTCTGTACACAATAAGGCAGACAGAGTGATATTGGTTATTTGGATTCATTGTGTCCCAATCTGTCTGGAATTTATTGTACCTGATGTATTCTGTTAATTAGAGTTTGATCATTTTAATAACATTACATGTTGTCTGGTGCACCCATAATCACCTGTTTTAAACTTAGGCTCTTTATCGTTTGAGATTTACTATCATGATTCTGACCAGAGTTTACAATAGGTTCTTTATTGCTGGATTTGGACATAAAATTATAAAACAGGATATCCCATAACTGAAATTATAGGAAAGAGAGGGATTTAAGCAATATGCCCTGTATAGAATATAAACAAGAATGTAAGTAAATAATAAGAAAACCTATTGATACAAGTATAGGTTAAAATAGGGCAAATAAAACAGAACAGAATAGAACAGAACAATAAGGTTGCAGGATAAGGAGAACTTTAGTTAGTAAGCCCCCTATTGGAAGAAGTATTGCTCAAGCAGGAAAATAACACCATATAATTAGAGTTGAGCGGACACCTGGATGTTCGGACAAACTTTGAAAAAAAAGTCTGGGCTTGAACTAGACCCCGTACCCCATTGAAGTCAATGGTGACCCCAACTTTTGGCCACAAAAATGCCTCTAAAAACTCCTGGAAAGGGCTAGAGAGCTGCAAAAGGAAGTAAAATGTGGGTAAGAGTAGGACAAGTGCCCTGCAAACAAATGTGTATAGGGAAATGACTTAAAATAACATAAAAATTATAAATACAGCTGAGCCATAAAATAGCACTAGATGGAATCTTTGATTTTAGCTTTGGAAGAACATAAATCAAAATCTAAAACATGGCTGTCAGGGGGATCAACAGAATTATCCATTTGAGAGAGGGTTGGAGTGCAGGGTATTCTCTTTCATTGTTCAAACTGAGCTCAACTCCTGATGCATGGAGAAAAGGCCTTCACAAGCCTCTGCTATTGTGTACATAGTTCATACTAAGTGACCCATAGGAGGTGGTGACCGTGGCGGTGGAGGATGAGGTAGCAAACATTGTATTTTATTTTATTTTTTTTTAATTGTGGTAGCCCACAAAATATTGGCACATACAAATAAAGAAACATTTGCGTCCTGTGGTGCATTTCTTGCAGTCCTGATGCATGGAGAAATGCTCAACTCCTGATGCACCTTTTATACTAAGTGACCCATAGGTTGAGGAGGCGGTGACCGTGGCAGAGGAGGATGAGGTAGCCAACAAATACAAAAACACACACAACTCTGTTCCGCAGGGTAGCTGTTGACATTATAGTTGTGCAGGAACTTTGTTGACTCTAGAGAGCCTCGGGCAAATCGCATATCCCCGTGGCGGCGACTTTGCATGCGGATGTCATCCATATCAACTTTCGATTCCAGTTTCTGCGCCTACCATGGTGACCACGGGTAACGGGGAATCAGGGTTCCATTCCGTACAGGGACCCTGAGAAATGGCTACCACATGCAAGGAAGGCAGCAGGCGCGCAAATTACCCACTCCCGACGTGGGAAGGTAGTGACGACAAATAACAATACAGGACTCTTTAGAGACGCTGTAATTGTAATGAATTCACTTGAAAACCTTTAACTCTGATCAATTGGAGGGAAGTCTGGTGCCGAGCTACTGACCTGTGCGTGCTGCAGCTGAAACTCCACTATCACCTGCTGCTGCTCGCAAAGTCTCATGAGGCGGTGAGCGGGAAGGCCAAAGTTACGCTGCAGCGCATACAGGCGAGCAGCAGCAGGGTGACAACACCAAAAGCGCACACAGCCGCTACAGTGAATGTCACATCCTGACAGTGTCTGGATCCTGGTCACCAGACTGCCCACCTCACTGTGAAACTACGAATGGATCGTTAAATCTGGTACAAACCCGAACTTTGCAGTTCGGGTTCGCTCAAGTCTATTATGGATCCTTTGATTGCTACATATATTACTTGGATAACTGGTAATTCTCGAGCTAATACATGCCGACGAGTGCTTAGGGACGGCCGCTCCGCTTTTGCACCCTGCTCCCTCTTATGCTGTGCTGGTGCCTCTGTGCAACCAGCGCCTCTTCCTCCAAACTGCACATGTCACTCGCATGACCTTGATTCCATGTGGGGTCTAGGACCTCATCATCCTCCACATCATCTTCCACCCACTCCTCAACCCTGCCTTCCTTGCCGGTATGCACAGTGCAGAAAACCACAGCAGTTGGCACCTGTGTTTTTCCAGCATGTAAAGTCTGCAAAGGACATATGGAAATTGTTTTAGAATTTCCTCCAGGCAACAGTTTTCCCTATAAACTGACCTCTCAGTTTGACTTGTGAGGGTATTGCCCCAGAATTACAATATTGTTGAAGTACCTCTTAGCTATTGATAACTGGTTTAAATATAGCAGCTTGTTATCTGGTAGTTTCTAGTGTAGAAAATAGTCTGATTTCTATCACTTAGATCTGTGTAACAAGTGTTGTAGGTGTGAAACAATATTACAAGTGACCGATGTAGTAAATTCGAATCAAAGTTCCATTTGCAAAAAAAATTCTCGCCCATCTGTGGGTTATTGCATTTTTAAGATGTAGACTTATTGTATCACACTAGCCATGCACAGGTAGATTGTCTGGCACGTTGTTTTGGTGTTTGGTTTTTAAACTTTGTAGTTGTGTCTTTACACAATATAGAAATGTATATTAATGCTTCTGTATATGAAGCGATCACAATAACACTTATTTTTCACTTAAAAAAAAAAATCAATAAAAAAAAAAAAATCAGGCTACACAAAAATTGGTAATTCACAATATGACATCTGAAAAGCACATGAAAGGATGATGTATGATAAAAAAAAGAAAAAAAAAGAAAAAGGAAGAACACACTACATGAAGGTCCTGTTCACTAGAGTGTGTAGTCATGAATGTAACCAGTAAAACTTTGTTGTTTACAGCCACTGGTTGGCCCATATAGATTTTAAAACTTGTTTAAATTTTGTTGTAGCATGACTTGTAGATATGAAGAGCAGGCCCCAAAATGTACTATTTAGCAGTTTAGCACCAAAACAATTAGAATGTTTACCACTGCGCAGTAAGCACACTATTAGACGCTTCTATTTGACTCTCAGATATGAAGAACAGGCCCCAAAATGTACTATTTAGCAGTTTAGGACCCCCAAAAATGTCAAGTTTTAAAACTGCAATATGACAGCAGTATTTGACGATTCTATTTGACTCTCAGACATCAAGTGCACCCCACTAATGTACTATTTAGCACCAAAAAAAATAAATACTTTTAAAACTCAGATGTAACCGCGGTATTTGAAGCTTCTATTTGACTCTCAGATATGACGTGCACCCCACCCCACTCCACTAATGTAATAGTTTGCAGAATTCTTTCCTAAGCTGTCCCCATCAGCGGCAGCATCCTCTCCCTACACTAATAAGAGCTCATGTGCGTGCGGCGCTGCGCGACTCCAGCTTATATATAGATGCAGTGTCACATGCTGCACTGGCCAATCACAGCCATGGCTGTGATGGCTTCTAAGGGCACACAAGTCAAACGCTTGTTGATTGGCTGCCCTGCAGCCTTTGAAACCGCGCCATTAAATCGCTGAATACCGAACTCCAACCCGAACATACAGTGATATGTCCGTGTTCGGGTCTGGGGTCCAAAAAAAACCTAATGTTCGGGTTCGCTCAACTCTACATATAATATTACTTTGAGGCAAATTCCAGCGTGGGGCTATGCAGGCAGGTATAGAGAAGAGAGGCTGTATGGATTAAGCAGGTAGAAATCAGGATGGCAGGATAAAGCTGGATAGTTGTGAAGTACAGGTAGGTATTGTACAGATTGGAAGTCAAGCAGGAATGCAGAGTTGTTCAGGCTGGTATGGAGCAGATTAGTAAATAAAGCGCAGGAATGCAATGTTGTTCAAACTGGTATGGAGCAGGTTTGAAACCAAGAAGGTTAGTTCACAGGATCTGAAGTGTTTCAGGCAAATCAACAACTTCAATGTAAAGGCCATGTGGTGAGTTGGGTGTAGCCTTTTGTAGCTGGAACAGACTCTGCAGGATTACATAGTATCACAGTAAATGAGTCGGGGCAGTGGTTGATAGCTTACCCTTATACTGTGCAGGCACATCGTCTGTACACAATAAGGCAGACAGAGTGATATTGGTTATTTGGATTCATTGTGTCCCAATCTGTCTGGAATTTGTTGTTCAAACTGGTATGGAGCAGGTTTGAAACCAAGAAGGTTAGTTCACAGGATCTGAAGTGTTTCAGGCAAATCAACAACTTCAATGTAAAGGCCATGTGGTGAGTTGGGTGTAGCCTTTTGTAGCTGGAACTGACTCTGCAGGATTACATAGTATCACAGTAAATGAGTCGGGGCAGTGGTTGATAGCTTACCCTTATACTGTGCAGGCACATCGTCTGTACACAATAAGGCAGACAGAGTGATATTGGTTATTTGGATTCATTGTGTCCCAATCTGTCTGGAATTTATTGTACCTGATGTATTCTGTTAATTAGAGTTTGATCATTTTAATAACATTACATGTTGTCTGGTGCACCCATAATCACCTGTTTTAAACTTAGGCTCTTTATCGTTTGAGATTTACTATCATGATTCTGACCAGAGTTTACAATAGGTTCTTTATTGCTGGATTTGGACATAAATCCGTAGCAGAGATGCCAATGCCATATTGTCACAGCAACTGTCACCTCAAAACATGTTTTTAAATAATTCATTCATCAGGAATTTTTTTTTTTTTTTTTTTTTTAAGTATATGAAGAAAGATTTAAAAAAATTCCAACCTTTAGTGGGATCTTTCAGCAATATACAAGAAGTTTTGTGTTTGGTAGGAGAGTGTTTGAAAACAGACACTTCCTGCTACACTTGCCTTGGACGATACTAACCAAGGGGCGACAAAAAATGCCGCCCCAAACATCCAATTGGGCTTCCCTGGTGTTGCCCCTGTCCCTGGGGGCCAGTGGGGCTGCTAGGTGGTGTGCGGCTGTGGTAGAATCATAGGCGGGGGGGGAGGGAGCTGTGATCTCCCTGCTCTGCTCCCTTGCGTGCCGTTTGCTGATGCAGCGGGATCCGGAATATGATGTGGTTTAGGCTCCCACCATCGTTAGACTGTGTGCAAGGCAGCAGAGCTCCCTCGCCGCCTGTGATTCTACCACAGCCGCACTGGACCTCAGGTACAGATCCACGTCAGCTCTCCAGGTAGGGAGGCTGTGTGGAAAATTTTAATTTATAATAATTCAAGGATTTTACGATTATCATGACGGAAAGTCATGATTTTATTAAAGACACGGAGGCGAGTATTATGCTGCACTCTTTCTTTAATTCCCTCAGCAGCAAAGAAAAAACAATGGAGGCCCCATGTTGATAATTTTCCCAGCGGAACATGATAACAGACAACCTAATAGAGAGACCAAACAGCCCCAATCCTACTTCAACGATGCAGCAAAACGACTAAAGAGACATTAGCATACACACCGATACCACTCACAAACGTCTGCAATGGTAGCTGTTCCCCGATATGGCACCACGCTGCTGGGACGGATACCTGCTTGTTTTTTATCCAATATTATATTATTATATAGCGCCATCAAATTCCGCAGCTCTTTACAATGGGTGGACAAACAGACATGTAGTTGTAACCAGACAAGTTGGACACACAGGAACAGAGGGATTGAGGGCCCTGCTCAATGGGCTTACATGCTAGAGGGAGTGGGGTAAAATGACACAAAAAGGTAAGGATAGTATTAGACTAGTGACAGTTGCAGAAGAGGAATCAGTCAGGAGCTATTAACAGTTTAATGGATACGCTTTTATGAAGAAGTGAGCATCTAACGGAGGAGGGAAGCGAGTTCCACAGAGAAATCTTGAAGGCGAGCATCAGAGGTGGGAGTATGGACAGAAGATAGACGTAAGTCTTCAGCAGATCGTAAGGGCCTAGAAGGGACATACTTGTGTATAAGGGAGGATAGATAGTACCACAAGACACGCATGCTATATTCACCACCCCCACATATATCACTGAATGATATACATTCCCACATATCATCCCCCTTGACCTCACTCTTAATGTGTGGCAACCAATAAACTTATTCAGACACTTGCATACAGTTAGAATGAGTTACATTGTTGTGCGACTTTCTTCAGTTAAGCGTATCATTGAGGCTTACATAACCTGCCCTATATTCATACATAAGAAACATATTACTATACATTTCCAAAGATCGCCTACTTAGGCCTTACATCACTTCGGTCCTACCACAAGGTCTTTTAGTACCCCTGCACCGGAAAACAGGGCCTACTTAACATTGTAAATGACTATCGGGGAAAAAAATCCTGTTTAGTTATGCATACTTCACTTTGTATATGAATGAATAACATTGCTTTCTGATGCCTTTATTAGCCTCTGCGTAGGCCCATGTGAAACTGCATTAGCACTCTGGCTAACTCTATGCCTTATTACGTACAAAATAAAAATAATTTAAATCAAAATGCTACTTGAGGTCTCTAAGA